TTTAAAAGATCAAGACCCAGGGCCATGGGATCCAAATCTAAATTAAATCTGGATATGTTGATTGTTATTTATATATGCAAATATAGAAGCATTAACAATTTCACAGTAATATAAAGCCAGCCAATTAATTTATCATTCCAATAAGCACAATGAATTCTTCAATACAATGAATTCTTGTATTAATGTGTACCCTGACCCTGGGAAAAAATATTCCAAAATTAATGACCACGCAGTGAATGATTACAGAACTGGGTCAGTGGGAAACCTGTTGCAGCAAGTGAGGAGCAGTGTTAACTCTGTTTGCCCCAGCTGCACTCCTCTGCATGGAAATCAAGCTATGGCGGGGGTGGGGGGGGGACACCCTTCTAGTGGACATTCAAGGCTCTGGAGGTCATTTATGAGAACGACCCTGCCAATCACCCTTCCTTAGCCTAACAAACTTACCAAGTTATTGCTGTGTACAGTATAAAAGGACCATGTACACATCTCTGAGCTATGTGGAGAGAAGGTGGAATAAAAACCCCTTACAATAATGAAGAATACAAGAACAATACATTTTTGAAGTACTGAGACAAATATAATAGTAATTCTGTATAAATATTCAGGAGACTTGCAAATGCATAGGACTGAAATCTGAAGAAATCTAAATGTATTCTTTTACATAATATGCTTTCTTTATAGTCCTGATTGCTATATGCTATGTCCAGTATCAGAGGGAGTATGCTTATGCACACCACTTGCTGGGGAGCATGAGTGGGAAGGTGCTATTGCACTTCTGTCCTACTTTCTGGTAAGTATGTTGGACTAGATGGTAGAGTGCCTCTACCTGGTGCTAGGCGACTGAGACAGATTGGGGATTCTGCTGGTGTACTGTGTACCCTTCTGCCCAACAGACTCCCTGCCTGAGCCGACGGAGATCGTCTCGGACCTGGTGTTGAAGACTCCCAGGATGCTGGTCCTGGGGGACTTCAATCTCCATGCCAAGACTGTTCTGACGGCCATGGGGCTATCTCAACATGTCACTGGCCCGACCCATGAACGTGGACACATGCTGGACCTGGTTTTCTCAACGGGGCAGGAAGAGGGTGATCCGAGGGTGAGCAATTTAAGTTTGACTCCCCTGTCATCGTCAGACCACTTCCTCGGGAGTTTCGAGCTCAATGGCGGCCCTTCCCTCTGTAAAGGTGCGGACCCTATTGTCTTGGTCCACCCTCAGAGCCAGATGGATCCGGATGGATTCTTGAAAGCTCTGGGGGTGTTTCTGGTTGATAAAGCTGGCGCTCCTGTTGATGCTCTGGTTGAACTATGAAATGGGGAAATGGCCAGAGCTATTGACACAATCGCTCCTAAGCGTCCTTTCCCTCCTGGCAGAGCCCGTTCATCCCCTTGGTATACACCTGAATTACGAGCGATGAAGCGGGTTGGGAGACGGCTAGAGTGTAGGTGGAGAAAATCTCGGGATGAATCTGACTGAACACATTTAAGAGCTCATTATCGAGCCTATGCTGTGGCGGTGAGGGTGGCAAAGAAGAAATTATTCTCCACTTCCATTGCCTCCTCACAGTGCCGTCCAGCAGAGCTTTTTCGGGTGGTACAGGGGCTGGTACATCCAGGCCCTAAGAAAGATCCTGTACCACCCTCGATGGCCTGCTGTGACAACTTTGCCCAGCACTTCAAGGAGAAAGTTGCTCAGATTCGTCATGAGCTGGACTCCACTATTGACTCAGACTCCTTAGGGGAGGTGCCAAAGTCTCCATCTGGTCAGATATTATTAGATGAGTTTCAGTTATTAATGATGTGGACAAGGTGCTTGGACAAGTACGTCCCACCACCTGCTTACTTGACCCTTGCCTGTCGTGGCTACTGTCCAAAGCCAAACACGGGATTGGTGCCTGGATCCTGAAGGTCATCAACGCCTCTCTGAGGGACAGCCAGGTGCCTGCCTCTCTAAGGTAGGCAGTGGTTAGGCTGGTCCTAAAGAAGGCGTCCCTAGATCCAGAGATGGCTGCCAATTATAGACCGGTGGCCAACATCCCATTCTTGGGCAAGGTGTTAGAATGGGTGGTGGCAGGACAATTCCAAGCTCTCTTGGATGAGACTGATTATCTGGACCCATTTCAGTCCGGCTTCAGACCCGGGTATGGTACTGAATCCGCCCTGATCGCCCTGTATGATGACCTGTGCAGGGAGAGAGACAGGAGGAGTGCGTCCCTGTTGGTCCTCCTGGACCTCTCAGCGGCTTTCGATACCATCGACCATGGTATCCTTCTGGATAGGCTAAGGGGGCTGGGAGTAGGAGGCACTGCTTGGCAGTAGTTCTGCTCCTACCTCGAGGGCCGATTCCAGAAGGTGGTGCTGGGGGACTATGGCTCTGCGCCATGGCAGCTATGCCATGGAGTACCGCAGGGGTCTATTTTGTCCCCCTTGCTATTTAATATCTACATGAAACCGCTGGGAGAGGTCATCCGGAGGTGTGGGCTGCAGAATCATCAGTACGCTGATGATACCCAGTTCTACCTCTCTTTCTCAACCAATCCAGGTGAGGCAGTGGCTGTACTGAACTGGTGCCTGGCCGAGGTAATGGGCTGGATGATGGCCAATAAACTGAAGCTCAGTCCAGACAAGATGGAGGTCCTGTTGGTGGGTGGCTCTGGCTCTGGGATAGGTGACTTGGACCTTGTCCTGAATGGGGTTGCACTCCCTCTAAAGGACAGGGTCTGCAGCTTGGGAGTGGTCCTCGACCCAGAGCTGTCTTTGGAGGCTCAGGTGACCGCTGTGGCGAGGAGCGCTTTCCTTCAGCTTCAGCTAATCCATCAGCTGCGTCTCTACCTGGAGGACGACTGCCTAGCAACAGTGACACATGCATTGGTTATTTCCTGATTGGACTACTGTAACATGCTCTACGTGGGGCTGCCCTTGAAGACAGTCCAGATACTTCAGATGGTGCAAAACAGAGCAGCCAGGTTGCTGACGGGGACTGGGCATTACTCTCACATAACCCCAGTCCTCTACCAGCTTCACTGGCTCCCCATCGAAGTCCGGGCTCAATTCAAGGTGCTGGTTATCACCTACAAAGCTCTTAACGGCTTGGGACCTGGATTCTTGAAGGAACGCCTGCTTCCATATTTGCCCTCCTGCCCCTTGAGATTGGCAGCAGAAGCCCTCTTCTGGGAGCCTTCCGTGAGAGACATCAGGAAGCAAAGTACCCCGAGGAGGGCCTTCTCTGCGGTGGCGCCCCATCTGTGGAATGCGCTCCCCAGAGAAGTCCGCCTGGCGCTGTCGTTATTTGTTTTTCGGTGCCAGGCTAAGACCTTTTTGTTCAAACAATATTTAACAATGTATAATATTTATAGGTTTTAATTGTGCAGCCAGGGTGTTTCCGGGTTTTATCTGTATTTGTAAAATATTTCTTTATTTGTGTGAGCCATCCCGAGGCTATATAGCAAGGGGACAGCATACAAAAACTTTAAATAAATAAATAATAATTAAATTGGTCTGCTCCAGCAAGGCTCCTTAAGTGGTTGTTTAATCACTTATGTAAAGAAGTGGTAAAACGACCAACTTACAGAATCCAAAGGCACCAGACAACTAAAATCATATAGAAACATAGAAACAGAGTGAGTCAGAAGGGATCCCCCGGGCCGTCTAGTCTGACCTCCGGCACCAGCCAGCTTTTTTATGTTTTAAGACTGCAATCCCTTCTTTCTCTGATGCTGGATCCAGAACTGATCAGAATCCACCTGATGCTGGATCCAGAACTGTGCCCCATCCACCCATTCACCTTCCCCAACATCCAGTGTCAGAGGGAGTGGTGGAGATGGACAAGCTGGGGACAGCTCTGCATAGACAGAATCCCCATTCTGTCTGCATAGACAGAATCCCCATTCTCCACCACAACCCTAACACATGGTAATCAAACATTTCCTTCCTGTTACCTACAGTGAAGAGAAATGGATTTACAAAACAAAAACAAAAACTGGAAGAAAGGACGGACAGATGGAGGGATGAAGCCAACACCACACCTGCCTCCTTGACAACCTTGTCCTTCAGTGCAAGGCTCAAGGGCCAGGGGCAGTTACTAATCACCTCAGTGCACCCCTCCGCCCACACCCCTTTTACCTCTTTGTGGTGGTTGCTCTCTCTCAAGAGGAGCTCTCTAGTGTTGCCTTGTGGTTTATTTTAGTGTTGGGCCAGCTACTGTGATGCGAGTTGCCAGCATGGGCTTTAGGAGAAGGGTGTCAGGAGAGTTGACATTTATCAGCTGCAAGGTCTCTGAAGGGGAGACCTACCTATGTATACCTACCTGGTGGCTTGATGACTAATTGATGAAGAAGGCCAACATGAAGGGGACATTCCAGAGACCTCCAGCTCTGCATGACCACTTGAGTGGCAGAGGAAGAAGAGCAGCCCCCACAGCCCCAGAAAGGCCCCCCAAGTGGCCTCAGTGGCAGGAGCTATAATGGCTCCTACTTAAAAAATAGTGACAATCCCTTAATTAGAGATTAAGAGCAATAAGAGGTAAAGCCAATCCCCCTCCTTCTAGTGATGATGAAATTAATGAGAAGCATCCTTCTCATGTATGCTTGCTTGAGAGAAAATCCTATTGATCTTACTATTATTACTTCTGAGTACAACATAAGTAGTAGTGTACAATAAGGTCTGACATATTCATGCAACCGAATGAGATAGCCCTATGCCAGTATAAAGACTTGCACCATTTTATATTGCAGGTTGGAATTCACACTGTTAGAAAGGCACAGGGAAAGGACACCACTCTCCCTGCTGTGCTAGGGCTTCTTCCACTTCTTTTTCAGATAATAGCAGTAGCACGTTTGTTACAAATATCAGCTAAGTAGTATTCATTTCAAGATTCTGTACCCCAACACTATTATAGGAACAAAGGTAATAAACACTACACAGTGCTACAATTATGAAGTCAGACACCCCCATGAATAATCACAGTTATGTAACTAAGAGGTAAAATGGGAGTAAATACTTACATGTGTTTTCACATCACTATCAAGGACCAGGCTATTCCTTAGAAATGCAGCTACACTCCCATTCATGATTCTGTCAAAGGCTTCGACGTGTGGTGCTATGTCTGTGAGAGAAAATAAGTTCATATGTTCCCAATGTCTTATGTTTTGTAAAAATGTTCTACCACAGAAACTGATATGGCAAATCTTATCCCCCTATGTGCTATTCCACCCTCTGGTTTGTGGTGTCTTTGTTAATCTACAGTAAGACTTATAGCATCATATGGAAATATAACAGATTATTATTACTGTCATTTCTTTACCACCCAATAGTTCCCTGGGTGGTTCACAGCAATTCACAAAACCACAAATCACAGATACAAATAATGAAATACAATATAGTATATTATTCCATCTAGTAAAAAATTATTAAATGTTTTCTCTGAACTATTGCTGGTAACTCCAGTCTTTATTGCTTGCCCCGAACTCTTCATTTTGTTCTACTCCAAAGCAGTAACATACAGTGCTGTTGCTTCCAGATAATTGCCAGAAATCTGCCATCTTTCAGTGATTTCAATGCTTTTATAACATCTAGTGGCAAATCTGAAAAGGAAAAGTGGCCTGAAATGATGTTCTGGTTGTTTATCTGTAATAAGGAAGCCTGATCTATGTTTGCTTATCTCATAGGATTATCATTTTTTTTTTTTTTGTATGGTAAGTTAAACCATCCCAGAGTCACCACAACTTTTCATGAAGGACTGGTGCACTGGTATTTGATCAAATGAAGAGAGACATGTGTGTGCCCCAAACATCCAAGCTACACACAATATGACATCTATAAATCTCCTAGATTCATCACCAGTAATGATGCTCTGAGTTAAATATGTTTTTTACTTATTAAAATCTTGCTTTTTTCTTTTTTAAAGAACTCAAAGTGGCTTACATCATTCTCCTCCTGCTCTCAATCTTATCCCCACAACAACAGCCCTGTGAGGTAGGTTGGGCTGAGAGTCTGTGACTAGCTCAAAGTCACCCAGTTGCCTCCACAGCTGAGCAGGGACTAGAACCCAAATTGCCTAACTCCCAGTCCTGCCCTCTTAGACCACTATATCACACTGGCTCTGCAATGTTAAAGGTTAAAACTGATCCAGTAAAAATGCAATTCATTTTGAGAGGTAAAATTAGACGTTGTCCTCCAGTTATGTTCACTTTTTGGTTTGCAGACTCTCAGCGCTACCTATAAATAAACTACTGTCTTTTTCAATGTATTTTAGAAACTGCATGAATTGTACTTGAAGCAGCAGTGTTGGCCTTTTGACAGAAAATGGATGTGTAGCAATGAAGCCACAGAACAGAGGTGAAGCTGCCTGCTTTCTAACCTGTTTCTCTCACATACCTTTACGCCTAAAGAATTTCTGACCTTCCATCTCCATGACTCATGTATGCACAACCTTTTCTTGCATGATCTTCATCTATAGCAATTTTACTTATGGAAAGCATTTTCCAGAGCCCCTTTTCCTTTTAGAATCATGTACCAGGTTTCACAATGCTCTCAAATTTATTTTATTTGTGAATTTTTATCCCACATCATTAGCCAAAAGGCTCACATGTACTTTACCATCTCTACTTCTGACTTTCAGCATTAACCACTCTTAATTTATCATGGCATATTTTGGATTCTGAGAAAACCATTCTGTGGTTCAGCGGTTAAAACCAATTTTAACTCTAATAACAGAGGGAATTCCACTAAACCCTTAAAAAACAGAATGAAGTAAACCAAACAGGATAATTCAGTGGTCAGAGCGGTATTCCAGTTGTGCAAAGCTACCAAACTTGTATGAGGCAAGGCTACATAAAATAAGGGGGCAGAGTCATTCAGATATAAAAAGTAATAAGCATTATCCTTGTCAGCTTTTAGGGTGCAAGCCTATATGCCTGCCTCACTCTGAAAGCATCTCATCACACGCAGGAGGAACATGGGGGTAAGGATTGCCTCCACGTTCCCCTTGCCCTCAAAAACATTCAGGTGTCCAATTTCAGTTGTCTAAATGTTTCCCACCTTCTCATGAACAGAAGGGGCTGATACAACACCTCAATTTGGTGGAAACCAATGGTGCATCACTCTGTCCCTCCTGCACCCGCATCCCACTGCATCTATTCCAAAGATGTTTCCATCACGAGGGCTTCAGCTGCCATGGGAAGAACCACATGGACTGAGAGGACAAAAAGGGAACCCTCAGAAGGCAGAGTTCCCAGTGCAACTTCAGAAGGCTTTTCCAAGCTTACAGAAGGGACTCTGCCTTTTCCTACAGCCAGCCAGACAGTATCTATGAGCCATGAGATTGTGCCTGTAAAGACTTTCTCATAATAGATCAGACTGATTTTCCTCTCCACTTCCTCTTGCTTTAGAACTCTGCCATTTTCTCTTTGTATTCTTGAATTTTATTATGTTGTTATTGCCATTGTTTGAACGGGTGATATACTTCTTGAGGTAGTCTACACAATTACATTAGAATAAGGGCATTGATGTGAGGAGGCAGGATAACAACCCCCCCACCCCACAACATATAGGTAAATAATACAAATTATATCAGCTCTCGGTGAAACAAACATTTATATGTAATGTTACATTAGGCAGCATGCAAAACAAATATCTGGAAGCTGTAAAAGAAATCCAATTTTCATGTTGCTGATTTCTTTTACAAAATGTATATTCCCACTTTTGCAACATTTATTTCTTCTGCTAATTTCTGTCTGACTAAGCAGGCATCTATTATACTCTAACAATGAAAGCAGCAATATTGAAAGTTTAATAGGAACATTGGCAGTACATCTAATAAATCTTTTCTTGGACAATAACATTATGATTACTATGAAAATTGCTATTGAACATATTCTATATGAGCCCACAAAATAGTCTTTATTACTAATTTAAGAACAGGTTAGGAATTGTTGCATAGCATGCAGATTCTTTTACAACAAATGCCACCACCACATGACATTTAGTAGTTCAGTTCTCAACATACTCAATAAAAAAATTAAGTTTCTGAAAAAATCATACCTTCATTGACTCCATTGACAGTTCCACATTCCATTCTAGCAGCCCTTTGTGAATCTGACAATAATGATTCAAGCCTAATTACAGCATTTTCCAACCTCTGCATCAATGCCATCTCTGCCATTCTGAGAAACTAAACAAACACATAAATACTATTAACTATCTCATTTCAAGTGTGGATTTCAGAGGTTTATGAAACTGTATTATCTGGTTCAGGAGTAGACTCAGTGCCATCCAGATGGTTTGGACTACTCAGCCATGATCCCTGACTAGGCTGGCTGATGCTTTTCAGAATTAGAGTCCAAATTATCTGGAGGATGCACCAGGTTATCTATTCATGGTCTAGTGTTCCATCAATATTATGTGTATTTCACACACTTGGCAAATATTAATTATCTATTTTGTTATTTAAACCAGGTTTCATATATGCTTGAAGAATTAGTTCAGTTAATATTTCCCATCTCTTGGAAGCATAAGATATACTTGGCAAGTTGAAAAAATTATTTATTTCTTCTATTTCACAATGTGTAGTTAAGGAGACTCTCGCAAAGGACGGCATACAAATATCTTAAATAAACAGCTGTGTTTGTATGTGATATTAAGCTATATGTTATGCTAACCATCATTTGCTGCTTTTGGTTTGCTTGTGCAAGAGTGCATTCAGACATGCTGCTATTCATCATGGGTTATTCAATCCACAACAAGCCATGATGCCCCTAGATACCAATTTAATTAGGCAAATCTTATGCAGAGGTTGCAGTATTCGGCAGAACCAGTAAGCATGGGTTATGCAAAAGTTATTTAATCCTAACATGACTCATGCTCACTGGGTTCACACAACACAGCAGCCTGAAGTGGAGTTTGCAGATTCAAAATGGCTACAGCCTCACCATGGATTAAATAACCTGCACTATTGACGTGCCACAACAATTCACTGTGTATTATACAATTTGTGGTGGCTTGTCATGCTGTCCATTAAAAGAAGCATCAGATTTCAACAAACCATACCATTGCTTAGTGTTATGCATGAACGAGGCCTTTATCTTACTAACTGAAACATCTAAAAGAATAAACCTCTAAGCATTATCACAGATCTAAGGCTAGCATTCTATCACTTAGTTTAAGGTCTAATTTATAAAGCAGCATGGAAAGGCTTAATCCCTACAGCATCAACCCTGGATACATTTATTAGGGAAAAAGCCACATTAAACCCAACAAAGGTTGCTTCTAAGAAAGCATGTCCAGGGCTGTGCTGCATAGTCATTTCTAGGTCCAGTTTTATGTCTCCTCAGCTGAGGCATAAGCTATGTGGGACATGCAAATATATGTTACAGTTAAACATGTGAAATGTTTGTCAGTTTAGCAGGGGGAAACCTGAAAATTTGGAGAAAGCAAAATGTGTACTATTTACTTCTTATCAAGTGAAACTTACCACTTTAAGAACATGACAGGTGCACAAGGACAATATGAAAGTAGGGTTCCTTCCATTCATGGAAGGCACAGGGATCCAGCAGAGGCCATCTGCTGGAAGAGGGGGGAAATTCTCCCTTCCCCCAGAAGTGCTCCACCCTCGATTACCTCTCATGCTGCTAGGAGGATGTGTGCGCCCTCCAGAGCACCAGAGGGTCTGTAGGAAGAAGGACAAATAGCCACACTGCTGGGCAACTGCAGGCTGATCTCCATGTGGTGTCATGCATTCCGCAGGGCACCTGAAACTTTTCCTTTATTCAGTTCTTTGGAACATTTCAAGCAGTAAGCGTAGCTTGTCTGCAAGCTAAATTTGACCCTTTTAGCTCTCTGCAGTACCATTCTTTTTTGTTTTTCATTCTTTTTTGGTTGGTGGGGACAGGGACACATGTGATTCCTGGGCCACAATCTGCCCATGCCTGTTGTAAATCCAATCCAATACATTTAACTTTTGTGTGTACATTTGGCATGTTTATTAGATGTATAAAAGCTCTAGTTTTATTATTAAAAGACCACGCTATTTGTTTGATTTATCATAGCTTTAGTGTTAGTAAAATAATCATTACAGATATACTCAACCTGCTGCATGATAAGAGTTAAGTAAATATTTCTCAGTTTTTGCCTAAATAGGAAAAGAAATTAAATAAAAGTTGAAACAGAAAGTTTCGTTGTAATAAACCAAAGGAAGGCTTTATGGAAATAGTATGAAGCCCTCAGTAACAGAATGAGCTGCAGCAGCTCCTTTATGAGGAATGGTTACCAGATTTGGGATTGTTTAGTTTAGGTAAAATGTGAGTACAGGGGGACAGGATAGAGGTGTACAAAATGATGCATAGTGGGAGAAAGTGGAATACTACAGCTTTGATTTATTCCATGAAGTTGATAGGTGAGAGATTCAGGACAGTTTAAAGAGTGCTTCTTTACACAGCAAATAGTTAAACTTACCATTACATGTGCTGATGGCCACCAATGTGGATGGCTTAAATTAATTAGGATAAGGCAACCTGTGGCTACTAGTCCCAAAGGCTATATGCTACCTCAAGTTTCACAGGCACTATCCCTATATGCGCCACTTGCTGGGGAGCATGGGCAGGAAAGTGCTTTTGTACTTGAGCCCAACTTTGGAGTTTACTGTGGGCACCTGCTTGGCTACTATGTGCACAGAATGCTGAATTAGATGGATCCTTTGCCAGATCCAGCATGACTCCTCTTATATTCTTAATGAAAAAAAGCAACACTCAGTTTTTGCTAAAAAAAAGGGGCCTCTGACAATAAATATCCATGTAATGTAACAGTAGCAATAATTTTGGACAGCTAACATTTTATAGGAATGCTGCACCATTCAATTACATATCATCATACTAGACAGCAAATATCATTGTAACTGACAACAGTTATTTTGAACCCGTATGTATTCATATCTGACTCAGTCCCAATTTTTTTCATCATAATTCACATGTATTTCTTAAATCAGAATCAGTGTTTGACAGTGCAACCCTATACTAAATTTATACTAGCTGTAGGACTTTAGCATGTAAAATACTGTTGGCAGAGCAATCTAAACCCCCTTTAGGGGTGGGGTTAGGATGTGGTTGAAGCATCCTCCAAGGGGATGCTTGGAGGATGCTTCCAGTGAGGCAGCATGGCTACCCCAAAAGCTGCAGAACATGCTTGATTTATAGCATAGTGTAGTATAGTATCCATGAGTATAGATCTCGTACTCGCAGTGTTCTCATTGATGGAGCCCTAACAGTGTGTTCTAAGGAAGGGGTCAGGGCTGGTTTTGAATTCACTGGATCCAAAGACTTTTCACTTCCTTAGTACAGCACAGAATCAGGCCACAAAGTGGTAATTTTCCTTCATGTCAATCTTAGTGGGAAGGAGAGTGTAACAAATAAAAAACCACCGGGGGGGGGAGGTGGGAAAAAACCCACCCTATTACAGCAACCTGTTAGAACTTTGAAAGGGTAAGGAAGTTTGTGTTTGGTTACAACTAGGACAAGGGTCTTCCAAGAAGGACCCCGTCCCACTATAAAACAAGCTCCCCACTGAAGCCCACATGGTACCAACAATGTACAGGTCTGTTGAGGCAACTAGAATGAAATTAAATCCAAATTTTGTCTGCTTTTCAACCCCCATAATTTCTAGAGTCCATGAGACATCTACAGATCTGATTCCATAAAAGGGTATTTCCATGTGCTTGCAAGTACCCTCAATCAGCAATGGCAGCAGGAAGCAGAAAGTACCAGCCTGTTTCAGAAACAGAGACCTCCCATCAGTGCATTGGAGCTTTTAATTTTTGCCACTCCTGCTAGTCCATGTGAACAGCTATTGAATGGAAACTCTCTCTCACACACACACAATGCAAAAAAAAAAAAAAAAAAAAGTGGCTTGCAAGCAATGGAATCTCTGCATTAGCATACCAACCAATTGTAAACACATAAGGCCATGCTAATAAAAGGTGGAGGCAGTGCCCAATTTTTTTCATACTTCAATGTAATACTTCTGATACAGTAACAAGAGTGTTCCTCTGAAAGTTACCAAGGCAACGCTTCTCACTATTTTTTAGAGCTGCTTTTTACATCAACATGCATAGATGCTTATATTTGGTCTTCTTTTATTTTTTTTCTTTGTAACAAAAGTGCAACATTCTAGGTATCTGTTCCACCAATGGTCATGCAGAGTTCAGAGTATCTCTTTTGCCATGCACCAGCATAGGGCAATTCACGTAATTAAAGACTCCAAACTGTTAAGTATATGCCCCTAGTCCAATTATGGGAAGGAAGCAAATAACCCTGCTGAAATAGAATAACAGAGAGCATAAGCTTGCACAGCATGGCAACCCAACCTACAAGCTTGTTGTCCATGAATAACCAGCAGTGCATCTGACAGACCACTGGGTCACTGTGGATTGTTCTTCCCCTTCCCCGCAGTCCTCCCACAGGTATCCCAGGGATCTGCAAAACAGAGCTTATCCCCTAACCCTGCTCCAGTCAGAACGCCTTTTGCAATCACCATACCTTCCCCTGCACTCTTTTTTTAGGACATGGCTTTTTGCAGCCTCTGAAATGCCAGCTGGTGACTGCTCCTCCAAACTGAAACAGCTGTTCCTGGTTTGCCAGGTATTTTTTACTACTGTACCAGAATTGTGTGCAAATGTCTCATTATTATAATTATTCTCATCAGTAACCTGGAGTTGCTCAAGTGTACAACTCTACCTGAAATTTGAAGAATTGCCTGGTCAATGTCCATCCATCCATGGGTGTTGACAAAGCCAGGCTTCAACTTTATTCTGCCTCCACTTGGCAGCTATGAAACCTCCTTCGCAGTGATATCCTCTAGGTTTTAAGCACAAACTGAACAGTCACCAGTGCTCTCGATCTTTTCCAGTCTTTGTCAAGCATTTAGGGCCACTGAATAGTGCAGCCCACCCCATTTACAGGAGTATGTACTTTTGATAGGATTAAATAGGGTTTCTTTTTGACAGGAACACATGCAGTCATAAAATCTGTATATGTAAGCAGCAGAAAATACCCCACCCCTGTTTAGCTAAATCAAAAAGCATATCTTAAAAGAAGCCCTTACTTTTAACAGTTGTAAAACCCCTTGCCACCCTTGCCAAGCTGTTAACTTCACCCCTCTTTTTCTATCAAGACCCTGAGTTTCTTTTAAAAGGGGGTTTTGAGTGGACAATGAAGCTTCTTTTTTCTTCTTTTTTTCTGGAACGTATCCAAAGAGATCTCCCAGTCAAATGGAGGAGGGATGCACTTTTGCACTTTCCTAAAGCCTCTGGGAAAAAATGCAAAGCATGCTCCACTCTGAGGAGTGTCAGGCCAAAAAAGGGAGGAGGGTCTTGCCACAAGGAGAGTAAATCACGCCATCTTCCTTTCATAGCAAAGATCACATGTACCTATGCTTCTTTTGACTTGCCTTTTGACAGCTGACAAGAATAAGTGTCAGGCTGAGCATAGGTAGCCGGTGTCTATGGCTGGTGCACCAGGACCAGGAGTGATGGAGGCAAATGGAGGTCTTAGCAGAATGCAGGAGAGCCAGAGGCAAAGGTGAAGGCAGAAACAAGCAAAGCTCACATACTATCGAGGCACAGTCAGAGGTGAAGGTAGAACAAAAACAGACAAGGGTCAATTACTGCAAAGGCATGGTAGAACCAGAGGCAAAGACAAGGGTCAGACACCTGACAAACCCTTTTTATTTTCCCGTCATTTTAGTTTTTAATTGATTTTAACTGGAGTTTTAGCATTTCAATTGTTGGATGCTGTGGTGTTTTGTTTTACTCTGCTCATTTTTATTGTAGTGGTGCACAGGGTAGAAAAGCTTTTAGTAAGTAAGTAAGTTAGGGTAAAGCCAGAGAGAAAAGCAGGGGCAAAAATGGAAGCAGGAGTAGACAGTAATCAAGGTGCAATTGAGGGAAGGACAAGACTGGACATGAGATCAATGAAGATACCACAAAGCCTGTATCACTGTAGAAAAGCTGAACAGTACAGAGAGCCTTTGAAAGAGCTCCCAACTTGCTGTATGGTTGCACAGGCTTCAATCTCTACAGCAGGGGTCTCAAACTCGCGGCCCGCGGGCCAATTGCCGGGGTGGGCGGGGCACGGGGGAGGGGCCCTGCGGCCTTCAAAGCGCCAGCGGCGCCTGGGCCGGCCTCCGGGAGCGACGTGGGATGAGCGGCCCACCAGCACCGTGGTGGTGGAATACTTGATGCAGCCCAGCCTCACCCAGACTCTACTTCCAGCGGCCCCCAGGTAAGTTGAGTTTGAGACCCCTGCTCTACAGGCTCCTGCAGGATGAACCATGCTGCTTTTTGAAAGCACTTTACCAGGGGAAGCTATGTGGCAATGCCAGAATATGACAGAAAGCAAAGCCAAAAAGAACCTATTTGGTGCCTGTATGAGTACTTTGGCAGCAGGAATGTCCAGGACATTGTTCCACCTGAGCCTTCATATTCCCACACAGATGCAGTTGTGAATGTCTGTTTTTGGACAAATGCAGCGAAACCCCCAAAAAAATCCTCACAAAACTATTTGTGTGCATTCTCTGTACATTTTTACATTCTCTGTACATTTTTACAAGGCACTTTGATGGTGCTGTCAGTGGCTTTTAAAATGGGAATTGTGAAAGCCAACGGGCAAGCAAGCTTTCATGTCTTAAAAAAAAGCAACATGTAAAAACCCCACAGTAAACCAAAAATGCAGTAGAAAGGGAGGAAACAAGTCACTCCTGCCATGGCTTCCCCTGGGATAAAGGGAAAAGAGGGGAAGGGAGCAGCCAAGGCGAGTCTAATCCTCAGGCATGGGTTGTTTGGCCGAAAACCAATCCAGTGTGGCTTATTGTCAGGGTGGGTTAGCATGATGTGTGAATATGCCCATTATACTAGTTCATTCCCTGAGTTCTTTAACGCTCTACACCTCTATCCATTTTGAAAAACCAACATCTACCATTCACAGTTCTAAATAAATGATAATACCTTCAGACCTTAATGATCGGAGTATTGTATCTTTTAGTATTTTCTATTTACAAAAGCTTGATTGAACTGACAAGTTAATTGGCTTCCTAAGCATACGGACTGCTATTTGGTCTCTTAGGTATATTCTTTCACATAAGCTAGAACCGCAGTCTACTGTATATGCCCAGACTAAGTAATGCATTAGTGTTAGTGCAGTAGTGAATAATGCAGTCCCTTTTCATTTTTATTTAATTAAGAGAACATCTTTTATTAATGTGTCAGCACTGATGACATATCTCTTGTTTCTGAACATCTCTCAGTAGCAGGAGGTGACCAAACCACAGAAATACTGTTTTGATGATGGGACTATTGACTGTAGTCACAGGACCTAACTTTTCGTATTATGTTTTTATAGGGAAAATGGAGTTTCAAAAATTATAGCATTCCAGGAAGTCTCCTGATTTTTTTTTAGGAATTTACAATCTCATCTATTACAGAGAAAAACAAAAATTACAGACTTACCTAACTTCCCACTGATTTTTAAAAGGATGTCTTTGCAAGCAAAAACATTTTAAGATGTTGTGTATAACTTTATACAACTCCCTCCAAAATATATATCATTGATTTGGGGTGTCCTATACTGAGAAGATAAGTGGGATGTAACTTTAGTGAATAGGTAAAGGTAAAGGTTTCCCCTTGACATTAAGTCCAGTCATGTCTGACTCTAGGGGGCAGTGTTCATCTCCGTTTCCTAGCCGAGGGAGCTAGCGTTTGTCCGCAGACAGTTTTTGTGGTCATGTGGCCAGCATGACTAAACACCAAAGTGCACAAAATGCTGTTACCTTCCCACCAAAGTGGTACCTTTTTATCTACTTGCATTTGCATGGTTTCAAACTGCAAGGTTGGCAGAAGCTGGGATGGAGCAACGGGAACTCACCCCGTTGTGCAGATTCAAACCGGTGACGTTTCAGTCAACCAGCCCAGCAGCACAGCAATTTAAACCACCGCACCACCTGCATCTCGCAACTTTAGTGAATACATACTTATAATTTCATAGAAAATTATTTGTATCATTCAGTGGCCCATAATTATTTCTGTTTTATCTTGAAGTATTTTAAATAGCAGTTTATTAATTACCAATTCTGTATGTTTTTCTCTTACAAAGGTTTAGGTTTACTACATCTTAATTTGAACAATTATAATTATTCAAACTGAATCTGAATAATTTAAAACTGAATCTAAATTTTCTAACAAACTCTGTTCTCTAGTCCATGCCTAGAAAAATAAATCCTATAGTTGTAATATTTGAGGGGATAGGAACAGGAATTATTCCAGATACTCTACTGAAATTATATAGCAGGCAATATCTACTTAAAACAGATATTATTTCAAAAAGTAATATTTAAGCACATATCCTCTCAAAATGTACACATAACAATGGACTGGCCTTGTTTCTGAGTAAATGCATATATGATTGGGTAGAATAATAAAATTTTATTACTTTTAATTCTTGAATGAACTAATTTTTAAGCTTTGTGACTGCAAGCCAACAAAACTGACTTTAGTGGTAAAGTTTTCACACATTTTATTGACCTCTTTTTATTGATGTATTATTTTAGTGAACATACTCTGCTGGCACTAGTTGGAATAGCCCTTAGAGCAATGTGCTGACCCTTGAACCAAAGTAATACAGTTGCCAGAATTAGATGCTTTGAGTCCATCCTGTCTGAATGAAGGCCCCACCATCACCACCACCACCTGCCATGGCCCAAAGACACAGCCCATGCCATGGTACACTTCAACAGCTCCCTATGGGAAGAGTCTGACCATTCCATTCCTCCATGCGGGGGGATACCTGACAGTTAGGAAAAGGGCTTAGCCATATAATTCTGGTTCTCTGGCTAATCCCCCCACTTTCAGGCTGTATGGTTTGCAAAGATCTGTGCTGCTAGGGGAGTCTGCCACCTAGTGCCTGAAGATGGCACTGTGAGTTTCAAAACAGGCAGATATTTAAATTCATTAAAGCTAGATGGAGTCACTGAAGCAGTTGGTGTGAGCTTAAGTGGACTGGGGGAATGGTGGACGACAGGAAGGCCTAGAGGAATGTTGTCCGTGGGGTCGCGATGGGTCGGACACGACTGCGCGACTAACAACAACAACAGCAAAGCCAATTAATTCATTTTGAAAACTACATAAGCCAATGGTGAACATTCCTAGGGTCTCCACAGTATGCACGGCAAGTTTGAGGTATCTAAGTTTCAAAGCCTTGGGCACACGCACACTTTTATTAATATGGACTCGTGGCCCTTTGTCGTTCAGATCATCCCCAGAGTGCCTCAAGTTTGGAAACTGTCTAATGCATCCAAGCATCCCTTGACACAATCTGAGCAAATCGCCAGCTGGTTCTCTTAGAAAGTACCAAGATTATGCTATCAGCCCCAGTTCTAGCAAGACTGTCACCTAGTGTGCTAACAGCCCGCTCCGAGGGACAGCTCTAGTGGTAACAGAAGGCCACATTTTCTCTCTTCCTGCGGCTAGGGGCATTCAGCGCCCGCGCAGGAGTGGGCGGGTGGGGTTCCCACACACGGGTGAGGGAAGAGCTTCGCAACGCTGCAGCCGCAGATCAAAGCAGAACCCCACGAAGTACAGTGTGCCCTCCTCGCGGGTAGGGGGCTCTCCGTCAGACCACCTGCTCCCAGCCAGCGGGGCCCGTCCTGCTTATTCCGCTCTGGAGGCTGGGTGGACGAGCCAGGGGCTGCAGGCCACTGCCCCACAAGGCGGGGGGCGGGGGGAGCAGTGGAGGCAGTGCAGCAGGAGGCGATGACCCACATAGCCTCCCTCGAGCAAAACGCGCCACGGGAAGGGGAGCGACTCGACCCCACCCACCAGCGCCCCCGGAGCGCTCCTTTGGCCCCTGCACCGCCCTCCTTCGTGCCAGCACTCCCGGGCAAGGCCCTCGGCTCCGTGGCCGCCTCCCCCGCCGCCCGGGGAGCCTCTCTCCCGCATCTGCTGCACGGGCAGCAGCGATGCCCCCGCGCCCTGCCCATCCCTGGCAGACCAGTGCGCATCACAGGGTCCATCGGCTTCGCCCCTCCCCGCCCTGGCAGCGCTTGAATTACCGGTCCTGGTGAGCCGTGGCGTGGGACTCGCTTGCGCCTCTCTCTCTCTCTCTCTCTCTCTCTCTCAGTGCAAGGAAAATCCGTGCCCGCTCCTCGCTCCCGCACCCCCTCCGCGCCGGTCTGCCGGGTGTCGCTCACAATCGCCGCGCCAGGACAGAGCGATGCAGCCTCGGCAGTTTCCGGGAGCGCCAAATAAAGACAAGTCTAAAAGGAGCAGGCTAGAGAGGGAGAAGCACCGAACAGAGATGGGGAAGGAAAGCCAAAGGGGGAGGAGTATGGAAATACGGAGAACCCGAGGGGAGGAGGGGAAGGGGGAGCGGGGAAGAAAGATGGTTTTCGTCAGGATGGGGGGCAGGGGGAATGGAGAACTTAGGAGCAGAGACCATGGCATGGGGCTTGAGAAAAGCAAGGCTCAGAGACCTTAGAAGGGCTGCATGATTTGCTAAACGAATGAAGATGAAGCCAAATTGTAGGGTAGCAATTGGGGCTTAGTGAAAAGAGGAGAAGGAAGGTTTTCCCAGCGGGGTTCCCCATCAAGTCCGAACTCCTCTTAGTTTCATAAGCTGAAAGGACATGCTGCTTTTCCTTCCACCACTGCAGAGTCCGAATTAAAACAGGTCACCAAAAGGAAGGCGGAGGCACTACAGAGATATGCATTCTGTGCTCTTTGGCACATCAGTGTCAAGCTAAATAATGTTCTAGGCCATTCTTTCGAAATAAAAGATTTGAAACAAAGATATATCAACAGAAGCTCTAAACTTTGGTGGAGTTAATAGCACATTACACAAGGTATCAGCATATCACTTTGCTTTGTAGGTTAACTCTACCTGCACAGCATTTTCCAGCCATGGTCTCCAGTTACTGCTGCAGAACCCCAAAGTCTCCACAACTATTATCAGATGGTCTGCTTCATATTAGACACCAGCACTTAATATTTAAAGCAGGAGTGGGCAACTTGTGACTAGCCAGGTGCTTTGGCCAGTAACTCCCATCAGCTCTGAGTGGCATCCTGGCAGTGAGGGTTCATGGGAATTAGTCCAAAACGTTTGTAGAACCTGATTTAAAGGAAAGTGACAGTAACAATGAAGGCTGTGAAGCTATTTTCAAATTTATTAGCTCATTTCCATGGAAATTGAAAATGTCTATAGAGTACTGCAATTTTGGATGAACAGTGTAATATTCTAAGACTTGAAGAAAGATAAAACACATTTATAGAAATGCACAAGTCCTACAAGAGAATAAAAGTAAGAAATATTGCATGTTACCTGCATCCACACAATACCACATATTGTTTAGCTCAATTTGTGTTTTTATCCACAATAATTTGTATCCCATACTTCATTGTGAAAGAGCCATTTTAGATTATTTGTATTCTTCACCAAACATAAACAATCCTCTTCATGCAAACCCCATATATTTATAGCTCAGGTAGAACTTGATTTCTGTCCCTAGAAAACAAAGCCTTTGACAGCTAGGCTGTGCCTATAATAACAGTTCCCAGATTCACTGTGGGCGGAAACTATGTTATAGTACATATCTAAATCTAGAATGCTGTAGCACAGAATGTCCTTGTGCCAAGAGGCTTCTGTGCAAACACCTGTGAAATGGCTTTGGATTCAGGAGTGATGCAGACATGCATCATAAGCCTTTCTTACCATTGCATGTGGTGTTAATTCATCCAATATAATCATGTTCTTCTGTGTCTATTCTTGGTAAAAGTGATCCATGTTTCATTTATGAGTATGAGCCTTGGTAATACTCAGTTAATCTGTCTTCCAGGGAGACAGTATACCTGGCGAGGCCATGAGTCTTCCTGACATACATGTTTCCATCCCATGCAACAGGGAATTTCCCATATCTAACACCCTTCTCTTGTTGTTCTTGTAAGCCTTGGTATCATTGCCACTACTTGGTTGACCTTTTGCCTGTTGTTCATTGTTGCATGAGATGACTTGTGGTTCTTCCACTGCAAGCTCAAGGAACTGAAAACAGTTCTGTAGGTTTGAGGCTTCCACTGATGTAGAGTGTCTGCTAGTTCCTCTAATTCTTCTGCACCTGTCACCCTTTTCCAAGGTGTTTCCTCCTAATTTTACCTTCCTTCAGGATTCTCCTCTTCTGCCTCAGCTTACTGTTGTACTTCTTGCTTTTGTATTACTCTTGGCTGTTGCAGTTCCACTGCCCTGTCTAAAAACTCTTCATATTGTTTTATTACCTTGCGGGTGGAAACGTGCTGCTCTAGTGCTCTCGCCTTTTCCTCTAGCAGGTCTACTAGCTTGCACTTGGTGCACATGTCAGCCATGTTGACTTTAGGCAAGAAAACATAAGTTGCAGGTCACCACCACTGAGGACTCTTCTTGGTCCATTCTTTCTGCTGCCTTTTTGATTCTAGCTCCTGGGCCTGTCGTAACAAACAGTGCTTTCTTTTGTCATCCCTGAAGATTAACAACACATCCTACCAGTGAATAATTCTGAGCATGTTACAAGAAAACAAGGGGGGGGAAATGAAAAAGAAAAAAGTTAGGGACCTCCCCCACCAAACTCCTGTTTGCTCTCTCTGTTTGCTTATTCTCTGGGAGTTTGGCTACTTGTATCCCAAAGTCTCTAGACCAGCTGGGACAGCTTGCTCTGATACCCTCAGCTAGAAGTCAGGAACCAGAATGATATATAAGGCTCAAGCAGAAAACTTACCCCAATCTAATATGATTACTAATATTGATATGTATATTATCACTTTAATGTTACAAAGTCTGATGGAATGAGACTTTCCCACCCTCTCCCCTGCTGCAGCCGCCAGCATGCACTCAAAATCTGATCCAGAGTTGGGGTACCTTCCTCTGGTAAAGCAACAATACTGGATCCAGTCAAAGGTTCCCAGATAATTCCTTCATGAAATGCTAACCCCACAATCCTTTTCAGTGTGATACCGCAATATTGAAAATTTGCCATAGTTAATAATGATTTACAAATAGGAGGCTCTAGGCTTTCTGTCACTCTCTGGTGGCTTATTCAGGAAAAGGAAAATCTTGTGGTCAACAACATTTCCACCTTACTGTCATTCCACTTACACAGTTTGGGAGAGGTTTGCCTTCCCTTTGTATTATTAAAAGGGGTTGGGGCAGGGGAAGTTCCACAATTATAAGCTTCAATATTCTATTCCTTATTCAAATTACACTTGTAGAGCTAGTAACAGGAAACATGACATCCATAATCTACCTGATAAGGTCTACAGAAATTTCAGTATAGCAAGTGAAGAAGTACTAAGAATTGGCACATTTGTATTTTTAACTCAAACTGCAGCTCAGAATATCATATATCATTATTATTTTAATAAAAAAGTAATAGTAACATCGATTTTATACAGTCGCTGTTTCTTTTCTCCTTTTTTAGTTATGAATTGTAGTTTTGTATTATTGTGGATTGTTAATGGTATTTTATATTGTTCTTTTATCTTTGTCCTGAGGCTCCTTGCATAGGATGGCATAGAAATGTTTAAATTAAATTAAATTAAATTAATTTTTTCTTTCAAATTCTGGGTAGAAATACTATGTACTTTATCCAGGCTTGTTCAGCTGTGTTCTTCATTGGTTCAGATCAATTTTTTCCTACCCAATGAAAGCTTATCATGCCAACTGCTGACAAAATTATCTGTATTACGTTTTATTTTATTTATGTAAGCCGTCCCGAGGCTATGCGAAGGGACGGCATACAAATGCTCTAAATAAATAAATATTATGTTGGGCATGGTAAGTTTCATTCTGCAACTTCAGTGCTACCAGTGCAATTCAGTGGCTTGCTTGCATGACATTATAAACCATGGTGAAATCTATTGTGGTCCTTGTGTTGTCATTCAGACCTTGTTTCTGTGTGGTAGGATGAGTTTTGTGAAACCATGGAGAGAACCATGGTTTCTTTTCAGTTTTCCATGCTTCACCACAGCTTCTCCAGTAGTCCAGATCTGGATTCAACATTTTACCATAGTTGGCATGGAAACACCATACAGCTCTCAGACAAGAATGGCCATGGGGGTGGCCACTTCTAGCCTTTGATCCTTACTGCCCTCAGTTCCTTAGCAACAGCATCACTGCTTGCTTTATTCCTATTACTTTTGTAAAGAGGGAGTCAGCACACACATACTGAGGGAGGAGGGAGGAATAATGGCAAAGCTGTTTTTTTCATTTAATTAAAATGTTTGTGGAGTTGAGAAAATACCATCAGGAAGGTGGAAGCCCCTCTCAGAACTGCAGTGGACTGATCAGGAGGATGCTGCTGTGGTCCATGGGCAAGATTAGGGAAAGGGCAAGAATTTCACTCATTGGGCTGCTAGGATGTGTGGTAAGCTTGGGAGGATGGAATTGCGAGCATGGAAACTGTGCTGCTCTGGTAACCATGTGACCATTTGACCAGGCAAAAATCCTCACACCATGGAAACAGCACAGGGCTGTCATGTGAATGCAGCCAGTGTTTTGAAGTACATAGAGGAACTACCTAGGGCCCCTTCCATTTGTCAGGTTTTTCCAGCATGTACGATTGGAGTACACACTAATAAATACAGCACATTTTTCACTGTGTTGAAAACATGGTCTTGTGCCACATGCAAATGGAATTGTCAGAGAAATAGAAAGTGTTGGAAAGGTAATGTTTGCTGGAAAATGGCCCTTTAAGGTTAATTTGCTGCTGTAGTTGTCACAGTTATTGATTCCTTAAGCTATGCACAAGTTTGCTGGTACAAAGAGATTTTATTAAAAAAAAAAGAAAAAATAATAATGACAGCTCCTCCTGCCCCCTTACAAAAAGTATAGAGAAAGGGAATATGGGGAGTAAAGGGGAGGAGGCTGAGATGCTGCTATCTACCATCCCCTCATGATTTACTTATGAGTGAGGGTTACTGAAGATAATACAATTTATGTTTAAGTTGCCATGCATATCCGCATGTTTTCAGCCAGTTGTTTCTTCAGGCAAGAAGATGAAGGAGACAACTGGGAATGCTTTAAAGACATTCCCAACAGGAGTGGGGCAAGCAGACTTTACTCTCCAGTTTACTGGGCAAGCCAGAGAGAGAGAGAAATGGTAGGGTGGCTACAGCAAAGGAGATTGGAAAGTGACTGGAGCTAGATAAGACCTCTCTCCTTCTCAGAGCTGCCACTGTTCTGTCAAGGTTGCCCAAGCGAAGCTCAG